AAGTAATAAGTAATAAGTAATAAGTAATAAGTAATACTAATACTAATAATGATAATAGTGATAATAATAACAATAATAACAATAATAATGATGATAATAATGATAATGATAATGATATTAATAATAATAATAATGATAGCGGGTTTGGGAGGCCTAAGGAGGAACAAATTGTGGAATATGAATCTATCTCCTCTGTTACACTTAAGAAAGGCAAATGTTAAGTTTCACGACCTTTACCCGCCCCCGACAAAATGACTAAACCTTATAAACATTTTTTCTTCAACCAGGACAACTTTCGAGCAAGAAGCGAAAAGCGCCTGCACACTGGAGCCACGCAATGTTTTTCGGGCCTAAAGTTTTCCACTTGTCTTTTTGGCCTGTTTTCGCTTAGCGACTCTTAAGGGGAAAGCTAGAACTACCTTTTCGTTACTGTTTACAATAACACTACGTGGGCAAATTCACTTACAAGCCTTTGAAATTAGATATTCGTTTCAAAGAAGATACTGAATAGAACGACTTTGGATTTTCCGTTTCTGACTCAGGGAAAGTTTTACCGGCTTAGCTAGAGTGCATTTTTACAGAAGATGTTCAATGTATTCTCGAATTTACATAAACTGTTTAAAGATATTACTATGGTAGTTACAGGATTTTGATATTTGTTGTAATATACTATACTATATTTATGTTGTTGTTTTGGTATATATCTATTTATTGTATATTCTGTGTTAGGTAACAGCTTCAGGGCTACTATTGATAGCGGAGATGCTTTGTAAGCTCCCTAAAGGGACTGCCCTGAAAATTTACCTGTAGATTTATAATTTGAAATAAAGGTGTCTAGCTATTTATCTGTTTAGAACTGCCAAAGTATTTCCCGTGTAGTTTATGGGAAAAAGGCGAAAGTGATAAACGTCCACCAATGTTATTTTAGTTTATTTTTTGCCCTGAGGATCGACGGTGTGATTAACATCTAACCAATGTGGTTATAACATGGTGAGAATCGTAGGAAGTACGAAGCTGTTCGCAGCTGATAGGAAAACATTCGGACACTGCCCCTTAATTGCAAGGTGCAAGTGATTGACAGAGGCTTCCTGTTCAACATTTTAGCGCCACTCGATCAACAAATGAACTAGAATGTGACATGGAATAATATTCTTCGCCTTTAAAAAAGCTACCAGAGGTAAAGCCTCTAAAATAATACACAGAAGCCTCGTAATATGCTCTATTAGGTCCTGTTAATAAAACAAAAAATGTGAATGGCACTACAACTGGAACACCAGAAAGTCTTAATTATGGAATATGCAATTAGTCTCATAATTAAGAAAAGGAGAGCTAACGTATATAAACCATTGCAATGCGCCTTAAAAGGCTGATTATCGTAGGTTCAGACCAGGGCTGAGAATTACAACGGTTTGTTGAGAGATAAAAATTGTTTGCTGCACCTCTGTAGTTTATAATCACTGTTGGGTCGAACGAAGGAAACAGTGGCGATAAAAAGGACAGAAAGAGAAAGAGCGTTTCATTCATTTTACATGAAATGACGTTTTAATTTCCTCTCTTGTACATAAAATACAAGACCCCAACCGGTTATGAAAATTAGAAAAGGGTCCACGAAATGATTACAAATGATGAAACAACAACAACAAAAAAAGATCAAAAGAACGGCTGCAAACGGTTCCGCAAAGTTTATCAAGGGTACGTTGATTCAAATAAAAAGCATTATTGAAATAATACGTTGTTTGAATGGTTTCCCACGCGACGGAAAACTTCCCATGAAAATATGAAATTAAAACTGGGGTCTGCAGAATAACTACAAAATGATGATAACTTGCTCAGCCAGTGTCCAACCCATGTGCAAAGTTCCCTAAAGGCATTATAGTGTATAATATAAAGCAGTTTTAAATTAACGTCTTTTATAAGTTTTAGATCCACTAGCAGTACTGAACCTCTAGACAGACTATAGAGAGGGCTAATGCACTGTTCAAAAGACGTTTATCTAAGGAGAGTCTTAAGTCCTTCACGATAATTGCTACTGAAAATAAAACAGATACAAGGATTTATGGCACAACTTGCCCTGGTCATTAAAAAAGCAAAAGAGGCAAAATATTGGAAGCCACAGGACATCACGATATCCTATGAAAAGAAGACGAGTAAACACACGATAATGGGGGGCAACCAGCAAATTGCAAACCCCAACACAATAGCAATGGCCATCTTCAACACATTTTGTTCCCTTCGCCGGCGTTGCTCAGCTTCACTGTTGGCCGATTGCTCACCAGGAATCTTCTGTGACTTGAACTTTAAAAAGATGATAATGTATAGTATGGCTATCAACACTAACGGGATAAAAATGAATACGACCGAAAATGACACAAAGTAATTTTGAAAAGACAAGGTCTCTCCAAAGACTTCGTTCCATAGCATCTTGCATTCCAATCTTCCTGGATATTCAACAAGTTTCACGGCGAAGAGATATGGGGAGAATACAGCCATCGCGATGATCCAGGTGGTGAGAATGAAGAACGGGCACAGTTTTGAACTGATGGGCGAAGAACGGAGAGGAAATACCACAGCTCCAAATCGATCCACTGCTATCAGAACCAGGCTCTGAATAGACACAGAAGCAGAGAAATGAGTTAAGAAGATTGCCAGCCTACATAAGGCCTGGCCAAGAGGACCACCGATCAGCCAGGAGTCTATATAGAGCATTGGTATCTCCCGAGGGATAACAAATATCGCATACAGCAGATCAGAAATGGCCATGTTTACGATTAAAAAATTGGTGGGTTTTCTCATGGTTTTCGCCTTGTAGACAATTATTCCGATGACGGTGTTCCCAGCCAGCGAAACAAGAAAAATCAGGCAGAAGGCAAAGGTTTTTCCGATTTTTTCTGGTGTTGGATTTTTGAAACAGGTCGATAGCTGTGATCCATTCATCGTTGTATATACGTTTTCCGACATTGTTGTTAATTATGCCCAGTTGCTGTCTTACTCTCATGAATGAGTATTCTTTCGTGTGTTCACTTAATAACTTCAGTCTTTTTACTTGCTACCGAAGGCGGGATAATCGTTTGCCCTTAGGTCGTCATTCGCGCGAAAATAATTACTTTAACCAATGGTACGGAGATCCACAGCCTATTTGTGACATTTGTGTGCGCCTCTCCATCAGAAACACGTCAGCTTATGCCACAATTTACTCTCCATTATATAACTTGACATCGACGTAAACTGGCAGCGAAAATTGTCCTGAAATAGCATTGCTACACCAGATGAAGTAGCGACAGCCAGTTTTTTGTTTAGCTTTGCCTGCAGTATATGATAAACAGTGCTGTTATTAATTGAACGTGCGCAATTGTCTTCTCAAATCATTAAAAATTTATGCAGTTTAAACAAAGGACATCATGACCGTGATGGTGTTTGGTCTTAATTAGCATAGATTTTAACGACTTTAACTCTTCGTTTTCTTCTTAGTTTTACTTTCGATAGAGGAGATATATTAAACACTGAGGATAGGGTTCGTCAGAAATGTCCCGCTGCGTGTCATATTTTCAGCTCTCTTCTTGATGTTCGGAAATGTGACCAAACCCGGTCTTCCGCGTTTGACATATGACATCAAGACGAATCAGTGAGAACGAGGGATGTTCAACGTCAGTCGCTCGAACTCTATTAAATCATCCTGACGCCCTAGCAGAGGCTGTTCCTTATCGGTGTTTCAGTGAAGAAATCTTAATGTCCAATATAATAGCAGCGTAAACAGCGTAAACAACAGCTGCTTCGCAAATGTGTCATGATTTTTTTTCTGCAGGGTATCGTGAGTCATTTTTTTTTGCCATAAAAAGGGACCCTTGGTATACAAACCGTGGGATGCATCTGACTTCTTTAACAGCTAACATCATCAGTATCAGATTCAAACTTGTGTTCTGTCACATTCAGACATTTTTTTTTAATAAAGTATTTGAAAAACTGTACAAAAAAAGGATCTAGCTGCCCGGGACGTTTAGTTAGTTAGTTAGTTAGTTAGTTAGTTTGTTTTTTAATCGAAGCAGAAACCATAGAATATCGCCATTGATGCCAACAGCTTCCTACTAAAACCAGCAGCTCCATAATGGAGAAGACTACCATGTATTTGCCTTTCTTGAATGTATTGGAGTTTGCCAACATTATGTCAGTTATATTTTTATCAGTTACTTTCAAGGCTCACACATTCTTTCTTTGTGAGTCTCGTTGACGATGAAACACCACTCTATTTAATTTAGATTCTACTCAAGGTTCATCGTTTCGGAGCGTGCGATTTGAAGAGATGTCCGAAATTCAGGCTAGAGGTTTTCCGTATTAAAATTTGCTAAAATTTTTGGTCCGTCAAATTTAGCTTGAAATCTGCCTTAAGGCGAGTATGGTTTATTGAGCAGCTCAAGGAAACCTAGAACTTTGCATCTTATATCATAGATTGCCTTTTAGTCGAGATAGTGTTTTCATTGTTTATCACTTAGATATTTGTTGACATTTCTTCATTCCGCTCAAAGTTCGAGTAATAAGTGCAATATATATATATATATTTTATTGTTGCTCAAAATCTACTCATTGCGCGGTATTTTTTTTGGACTGTTTGAAACACCTCACGTAAATTCAATTCTATAAGGTAACCCCGCGATTAAATTCTCAAGTGTTCTCGAGAAAGGTTTATATGTCAAACCTAATAAGAACGCTTAAAGCCTGTGTTATTGTGTTTCGAACTGGTGCGAAACGTCCGTTGTAATTAACATACTGATAAATTCAATTATAATTTTATCTCGCGGGGTCAGATAGGCTGTTCTTAACTGTATTCAAACTATTACCATCCGTTTGATTTTTCGTAACTCTATTTTTGCCATTATATATCCCTCGAATGTTCAGCGGAGATGAACTTTTTTGTTTGTTGCATCTTTTGCTCCATATATTGTCATGTAAATCAGGAAAGCGAGGTTTGATAAATTAAATTAAAAGCACTACAAAATTTCTTTTATTTGCTCAATGGTCAGTTCTCAGACCTTTTAGATTTATTCCTCAGTAACTGATCAACCTTTTCTGTGCCTCAAATTAATTTAAAAAAATTTCGTTTGAGAATTCCCATAGTACATAACAATGCACGGCCTAATTTACCTTTTAAACAGCTGGCTGACTATGTGGACTCCAAAAACTGACTAACAAAAAGCAAAATGGATTATCGCTGGCTAGAACAACGTATAATTCGATGTGTATTTTATCTATACAAGTGGACGTTAAAACTTCTGACTACAGTACTTAATGTTCTACATTTTTTTCAGAAGCTTCAATTCTTTTACTTAACATTTGAAATTCAACTCTACGGGAATTTTCCCAAAACACCCCGATCTAGGTTTAGATCAAAAATTAATTGAAATTTTGCACTATGGGCATAATTGAGTTATAATTACATTCCTGAAGTAACCAGAAACATAATTTCTACCAGAAACAGAATACCATTGAATTTGGTAGATATCAGGGTAGATGTGTTCCGCTAGGTTGCGTGTCTGCAATCCCTCACAGTCCTAAAGCCCAAATAGACATGAAAACCTTGGTTTTATGGTCTGATAACTGTTAATTTATCAGCTATAACTGCGGAAAATTGCATCCCCTAAATATTGTTCGATCGAACCAAGCAGCTGAATTGGGCTTGTTTACACGTGTACACCATGCCTGCTGAGGTTGTTTCATCTACAAGCAATTATTTTGCTTCGGTGATGTTTCCCAAAATGTAATTCGAAAAACACTATCACGACAGAAAAAAAAGGAATAACAAGAATAATCAGTACATTTCTTCCTGTTTTGAAATACTCGAGAAAAAATGAATATCTTTTGCACTGATTGCCGCTTTTGACCAGAATCGCCGCTAGAATATTCAAGTTGAGTAGTATAGGACGCTTATATGACCGGTAACCAATCAGGAGCCGAGAAAGACAATAGGCTATTGTTTGGAGAACAATGGACGCTATTGTTTTCCAAATCCAAGATGGCGCTATTTATTTTCAGCCAATCAGGAGCCGAATTAAGAACAATGGATGCTATTGTAATAGTCGTAGTAATAGGAATAGTAATAGTAATAGACGCTTATATGAGCGGTAACCAATCAGGAGTCGAATTAAGAACAATGGATGCT